ACGTTAATAAATCATTTACTTTCTCAGGGTGACCTTATAATTATGAAACGGTGCAAAAGCCGACACTATCTTTAAAAATTTCATAAAAAATCTGAGGTAAAGGATATTGCGACCAAAATTTGAATACGGAGGTACATTGTGATGAGGAATCTTCCTGTGTATGCCAAAAAATTTCATTCCAGCTGCTTTATTTAGAATCGCAAAAACCGAGGGTGACCTTATAATTATGAAAAGCACTGTATAATATGTTTCAATGGTATGCGTCCGCCCATCAACTTAACAAAAAGTTTTCTGAAAGAACTTGCCCAATTTAACAGCACACATTATCAGATTCGTGACTCAAGAAAACAGTGAACAACATCTTTTCAGACAGGAAAGTCAACAAGAAAATTTTTTAGAATTTTCTTTTGAATTTCGACCGTTTCATAGCATACGTCCACCCCTAATATATCACTCGAGAGAATTTTCCCATTTAACCCGGCGTATATGTCCGCACCACAATTGAAGTCAACATGTCTTCTTGTGATGCTTCGTGGTCCCTGTCCCTCTGCAGTTTGATCCGGGTTCGAGCTCTTCTCAAGGCCGGACTCAATAACGACGCTTTGCCAGGCATTTCGGTAGGAACCTTCTCGGTTTGCTCCTACTTCAGTGATCCTGAAGCCTACGACATCGCAGGCGCCCGGAGGCGTCAACGCAAGTTTTCCGGCAGAGCCGAACGAGAAATTCAGAGGAGAGCCTCGAACAGCACCAGCACAGTCCTGATATGAACCTAATGGAGAACCTTTGGGGAATAATTGTGCAACGGGTGTACGCCAAAGGCAGGCAGATGCCAACCATAGACGAACTGCAAAGGGCGGTCATGAAGGCGTGGAGAAACATCGACCATTCAGTCCTCAGGAAATTAACAATGAGTATGCCGCATAGACTCATGGAGTTCTCATTCAAACAGGGTGCACCAATTGATTATTGATTTTCATGAGGTACACTGTTGAGTTTGTATAAATAAACTTTATTTAAAGTGAACGTACACTATGAAACGGCCGAAATTCGAAGAAACACTTATAAAACAAGTCTTTGTAAACTTGAAAATCTGAGAACCTATATCTCGTTGTATTCTAATGCAGCAAATTCCTTAATGCACGCTTCTAATATGGACCACCCCTCTGACCAGGGAAGGATCCCAACTCGAAGTGACCATTTGAAATAAGACCTATACTGCTAGACGTGTTTTTGGGCGCTGAATTCAAATCCGCTTTCCAAATCTGCCAAGCGATTCTCTGAACGGAGTATGAGGGTGGATTTAGGTGACATTACATGAGAAAACTTAAATTACATGGAAGCAGCTCACTCATCAACGGCGGCTTGGTATAGTGGTAAGCGTGACCTTCATGGGCGAGAGGCTAGGGTTCGGGTTTTGTGGGGGACCGAGTTTTTGCATTATACAGAATTTTTCTTTCCGGAACCAGGAAATACTCTCATGGTGGTTTTATCACGTTTTATGACCTTTTGAGGCTTCGCTGATTCCTTCTTC